CCGCGCACCGCGCACCGCGCACCGCGCACCGCGCACCGCGCACCGCGCACCGCGCACCGCGCACCGCGCACCGCGCACCGCGCACCGCCCGCCCCGCTCCTTCCGGGGCAGCGCCGCCGCCATTGGCCCGCGCCGCCCCGCGCCCGCCATTGGCGCGTTCGAAGGCGGGCGGCGGCGGCGGGATGGCGGCGGAGCGGCTGAGCAGCGCGCTCGGCGGGTGGCGGCTGCACGACCTGGCCGCAGGTGCGGGATCAGGTTCAGGATCGGGATCAGGGTTAGGACCGGGATTAGGATCGGGAGCGGGGCCGCGGCTGCCGCCAGGGCCGGTCTCCCGACCTCTGTTCCCGTCTTGGTCGCTGTGCTTCTCGGTCTCTCTGTTTCCTGGTCCTGCTCTCCATCTCAATCTTTCTGCCTCTGTCCCAGTCCTGGTCCTTGTTCCGGTCTCGGTTTCGGTCCCCGTCCGGGTCCCTGTTCTGGTCCCGCTCTCTGTCGTGGTCCCTGTCCCGGTGTCTCTTTCCCGTTCTCTCTTTCTCTGTCCCGGTATCCGCCTCGGTATCGGTCTCTGTACCCCTCTCGGTCCCGGTCTCGGTTTAGGTCCCGGTGTCCCGTTGCCAGTGTTGGTGTCAGGCTGTGTGTCCCGGTGTCTGTGTGTCTCCTCTCTCGGTCCCGGTCCGTGTGTCCCGGTTCGGGGCTGCGGGTGGCACCGGGCAGCGGGAGGCGCTGGCTCCTGGCGCTGACAGCGGCTCCCCTTGGCGCGCCCGTGCCCCGCTGGATTTGGGTATTTGCGTTTATTTTGGAGCCTTATTTTGGGCGAAATGCGCGTTTCGGAGAAATCTCACCCTTGGCGATTATTAAACTTTTTTTGTTTGTTTGTTTGTTTTTCTCAGTGTGGGTGGACACGGTGTGGGACCTGGATTTCACGGAGACCGAGCCTCTGGATCCCTGCATAGCAGAGGAGATCACGGCTGATGGGCTCCACACCTTTACCTGCCTGTACCGAGCTCTCGAGCCCTTTGCTACCGGGGACCAGGAGAGCAGAGAGGTGACATCACCTGAACACAGAGCCAGCCACTCCCACCTTCTCTTTTTCACATCTGTCTTGCCTTGAAATTCGCAAAATATTCATAAACTATTCAAACAATTCCTGCTCTGTGTGCTGGAATGCTTCAGAAGGAAGCTATTCCCAAATTGTAAGAATAGAGTTAACATAATATTAAGTATATATAGTGTTATGTATTATAATTATTAAAACACTTTTTAAAGCATACAATACATAGGGAATTGGTCATGGTGGCACCTGTTAAAATCTGAATAATGTCTGGTTTTGGACATCCATGTTATTCCAGGATTCCTCACTATTCCTGTCTTGCCTCAGAATGTCTGGACCTTGTTTGCTGAGAACAGCCTGTCCCACCAGGCCCTGGTGGCTGTGCTGCATCACTTTGTGCACATGGGCCAGCACACCAAAGCGAACACGCAGCAGAGGGTGTTTGGTCTGCACTCAGCTGGGCTGTACCTGCTGCTGCTGGAGATCCCAGGTGAGCCTCGGGATGTGCCTGGGGTCAGGCAGGATCGGGTTTGTAACAATTTGTAACAATGCCAGGTGGTGGTGGCTTGATGTCCCTGAAATGCTCGGGGGCTGAGCTGAGCGTGGTGTGAGTGCTGAGCAGCATCACGGGCTGGTGGCAGCCTGGCCTCCTGTCACAGAGGGGTTTGGTGGCCTCAGTGCAGGTCTGTGTGTTGTGACAAGGTGACAGAGGAGCCTGCACAGCGCACAGAGCTGGAACCACACAGGTCCCTCTGCTCTGACAGCCAAGGCAGGAGCTTAATCTTGTTCCTGCTCTGTAAACAGGGAGCATTTCACCGTGCAGCACATTTGGATTTGGGTTTGTTTGTGAAAACAGAAATATCAGGTTAAAATAACGAGCAGCTGAGTGTTTCCAGCAGGTTAGTTCACAGCAGGATCCTTTTGTATTCCAGCACACCAGGAAGTTTTGCTGATCCCCATGGTGCAGCTGGTGATCCTGCTGGAATGTATCACTGCTGCTGATGCATCAGCCTGGTGCAGCTCAAGCAGCTCCTTATTCTTCTCTTGAACTTTCTTAGGCTCTGGGACACCTGTGGAGAGATCACAGAATCACAAACTGGTTTGGGTTGGGAGGGACCTTAAAGCTTATCTCATTCCATGGGGAGGGACACTTTCCACTAGACCAGGTTGCTCCAGCCTGGCCTTGAGCACTTCCAGGGGTGGGACGTGATGCCCAGATGGTTTGATGTTCTCTGTATTTTGTCTGGAAGAGGACTGATGTTGTCTTTTCTGGGCAGGCAGCATCGTCAACCAGGTGTTCCACCAAGTGATGTTTGATAAATGTCTTCACACCCTGACAAAATGCTGGCCTCAAGACCTGAGGAAGAGGAAGAAGGCACACACTCAAAGCTCTCAGCCCACTGCCAGAAGGAACAGAAAGAAAGGGAAACCATGCAGGAATGACAATTCCAGTGTAAGATGTTTGTGCAATCTCTTTAGATACAAATCCCTATTAGTGAGCAAGTTGTTGGCAAGCTGTTCCTCTTTTCTGCCAATATAGATAGAAGAGATGTTGGAAGAGGAGGAGGAAGAGGATGCTGAGAATGTTTATTTCTCAGCAGAAGATATTCTCCAAGTCCGCAACGCCATCTTCCTTCTTTTGAAAAACTTCCTAAGACTTCTGTCCAAGTTCTCCCTAAAAGAAAAGCCTCAGTGTGTGCAGAACTGCGTGCAGGTAAGAAAGATCCAGCTTGAGGAGCCCTATGTCCCCTAACAAAGAGTTTTTGAGGATGCAGAGCATTCCACGTGGAGGGGTGGCAGAAGGGTGCCTGCTCTGTGTCTGCCTCTCATGCTGAACACCTGCAAGTGTTTTGTTCATGCAATCAGAATGGTTTGCATTGGAAGGGACCTTAAATCTCATCTTGCTCCACCCCCTGCCATGAGAGAGACACCTTCCACTATCCCAGGTTACTCCAAGCCCTGTCCAACCTGGCCTTGGACAGTTCCAGGGATCCAGGAGCAGCCACCACTTGTTCCTGGGGGGAGCTTCTGGGCTTTGGGCTCTGCTTTTGTTCTGCTTCAAGGGAGGTGTTTGAAAGTTAAACCCAGTGGTGTGACCCAAACATCCCAGAGCCCTGCTCACCCTCCCCTCAGGGGGCTGAGCTCACCTTGGCTCTCTTCCCTTGCAGGTCTTTGTTGAGATGACCAGCTTTGAGCCAGTGCTCCACGAGTTCAAGTTCTCAGCAGCCATGTGAGCAAATAATTCTTAATAATTCTTAATATTTATATGATGCTTTGAACCAGTAAAGCCCTCAGTGCTTGTGTTATTGTCCTGTGCATATAAAAATGAAAGTAACAAATTGTCCTATAAAGATAATTCAGATATGTTGCATGTGCTAACAGAAACAGCATCTTGTGAATATTGAATGTTTTGCAGTCAATGAATGCGGGCCTGATATTTCTGAGTCTGAAAAGGTTTTCAGCCTGCCAGTGGCTGATTCTTTCCCAAGGGAAAATTTCTCAGGAGACTCTTTGTTTCAAGGACAATTTCTGTAAATAACTTAGGTTTCTCAAAACAATCTGTACAGCTGTGCTGATTGTGTTTCTCTTGTTCCACCAATGGGACTAGAGAGGTGCTGTTCCCTTTACCAATCATGTTAAGTCTGTTATCGCAACACCTTATAAAAGGTACCAAAAAGTAGACAATAAAGCCTTCTGATGATCTTCTCCCTTTGAACTGGAGTCAGGCACCTTTATTTTGTGTCCAACAGTGACAAATGAACTCTTTCAATAGTCAGAGTTACTCTGATGAGAGGTGAAGACATCTCTTTGCCTTCTTCTCTTAGGGATGTTAATAAAGCCAAGTACATTCCTGAGCTGGCCTATTACGGACTTCACTTACTGTGTTCCCCTCTCCATGGCACAGAAGATAAGGTACAAGTTAAACAGAATCTTCTTTCCTTCTCTGCATGCCATTTTTGCTTGTATGGTTTTTACTTTTAGGAGTGGGGATACAATTTAACATCACAGTCACCCCAGGACACCACTCCAGCCCTTATTCCCTTTGGGCTCCTTTGCTGCAGCACTTGTGTGCGTGAATTCCGTGCTCTGCTGGCTCTTACAGCAAATGAATTGACAACAAAGGAGAGCTGCAGTGGCACTGGGTCTCTGAATCTTAAAGAAGAGAATTCCAGGTGGCTGCCCTTCCCTGGAATGTTGTGGTTCCCTGCTAGATGGAGCTGCAGCACCGCCTGGCAGCCCGTGAGGGGTTGGGCTGTGCAGTGCTCTGTGCGCTCGGTGAGGCTGAGCAGGGCTGGTTGTTGTTCAGAGAACCCTCTGTGGTCCTGGAGCAGCCAGTTCTGCAGGAAACTTTGTCTTTATTTGTTTAAATCTGCAGCAGAGCAGGGCATCTCGCGCTCACCTGAGTGCTGCTGCTCTGCATGGGGCTGCTGAGGGCTGGGTGTGCCCGAGCTGTGTCTGTGTGCCCCCCTGGGCTGGTTCTGAGCCTGAGGCTGGCAATCAGCAGCTGTCTAGTCAGGAAGGCCTGGAGTGCTCAGTAACCTGCTCATTCCTGAGTGCCAGCCCAGCTCCAGCAGCCCTAGGCCTGCGTGTTTCTGCCTCCTTGGTTTCTCAGTGCAGCACGAGGTTTTTGGAGCTGCTGACATTTGTGGTGACGGCGAGGTGTTGTCACTCCCCTTCCCAGACCTGCCTCATCTTCCCTGCCTCTCCTGCTTGCTCAGGGGGTGTCAGGATCGTGAGGCAAAGCCGTGGTCCCAAAAAACATGGCAAGGGAGGAAACTCCAAAAGTTCAAGTGCAGATGGTGATACAAAACACTTATTTAGCTTAAGACATCTCCTGTGCAAAACCCAGTGAGTTTCCTCAAGTTTCAAATATTTCTGGCAGAAAAAGTCAGCAGGGGACTTTGGAGGGGGGATTTTGCCTTCTTGGGAGGGAAGCTGTTAATGCTTTTAGGAAGGCCTTCTGAGACCTTGCTGAACTTGCATGAGAACATCACAGCCATGAGAGATGTTGTGTGTATTTAGAAAGTTTCCTCTTGGAATTTCTCGGCTAGGAGTCATGCTTTAACGTGCTGTTTTTTGGTTCTAAACTTGAGTCAGAATTATTTCATGACCTTGGAGTGCCTATCCATGCAAAAGAGGCTGCCAATAACCTCTTCTTTGCAGACCCTTCGATGTGTGTTCCAGCAGCTCCTCAATGTCATTCTGATGGTGGAGAGCAGGGGGGGTCCCAGGTGTGAGCCCCTTCCCATCACATCAGCCGTGACCAGCGCCAGGAACCAGGCTGTGAAATTCATCAGGTGATGTTCAGAGCTCTGAGCATGGCTGCTCCTTTCTTCTGGCATGCCTTTGCTTTGCTGTTGAGGTGATAAAGGGATGAGACAAACTGGCACTGGCTTTGAAGTTGTTTGTGCAAATGAGGCTTAATTAAAATGTCTGGAATGGGAATTTACTGAGTTTGCTGGCAGAGGGGGAAGAAGGTGCTGTGGAAAGGATCCATTTTCTGTATTTTGCTTTGTGTCAGTTTTTCAGGTCTTGGTTTTACTACAGAGACTTGTGAAGGAAATGAAAGATTAACGTGGAGCTCATTCCTCTGTAGTTCTTTGCTCTCTCCTGCTTAATGATATGTTTTGCCTTTGTTTATTCCCCCTGTTGGGGATCCACGTTGTTGGAAGTGTAGTTTGTGCAGAGATCCCCAGACAACATACAAAAGTAGATTTATAGATAATATATAGTAGAAAAGAGAACAAAGAAGCTTTTCATGTTAGTCTTCTACTTGTTAGAAAGGTATGGGAAGAAATTATTTTGTGTCTGCAAAGCCAGGTTAATGTGAAAAGTAAGGATGGTTCTCTGAACATTTCTTGCTGCACTCATGATTCCAGAATTGTGGCCACTTTTCCTGACTTTTCAAATTCCAGAGGGAATGTCCTTGATTCTTCCTCTGTTATATACCAGCTTTGTTAAAATCTGCTTCTCTCTTTCCCTCCTGTGCAGTTCTCTGGTAGACGAGCTGAAAGAAGCTGTTTATTCTGTTCTGCGAATATTGCTCCAACATATCTGTGCCAAGGTATGCCAAGCTCTGCCACTTCTGGAGCTGGAGAACTCGTGTGGATACATTGGAATATCATTAATAGCTTAGGAAATCAGTTTTCACAATCTTTTGTAAGGAATGAAAAGGTGTGATGGTGAAGTAGTGACTGAGGAAGCTGTGATGATTCTCCCTGCTATTGTTGAATGTGAACGTATCAGCTCATTAAATAAAAAAAATACTTCTCTTAAGCCCTGAAATGCCTTTCTGGCATCCAGAGCAGAGCAGTGAAGTATCACAGGGTGCCCTTGCCCTTGTCTTTCAGGTCCCAGACAAGGCTGATTATCGCACCTACGCTGCCCAGGCCCTGGTGACCCTGATGGACAAATTCCCGTGTGCAGAGTTCGCTGAATTCATCGCTTGGCTTTATAAATACTCACTCAACCAAGTAAGTGCATCTCCTTCATGTTCTGGAGATGAAGGGTTCAATCTCAGCACTGAATAGCTCTGTCACTGCTGGTACCCAGAGGCAAGAAAACTCCGTGTTCACTTCCATTAACAGAGCACCTCGTGTGCTTTTTCATCCTGCAGGTTTCCTACAGAGTGTTTGCTCTTGATGTAGCCTTGGCTTTGTTGGAGCTGTCAGAGAGGAACCCAGACAGCTCCTTGTCTCTGGATCATCAGAATTTCCTAAAGCACAAGTTTTTAGTGCAGGTCATGGTGTTTGGCCGGTGCTCAGACAAATCCCCCGTGGTCCGGAGCAAAGCTCTCAGCAGCTTTGCCCATTGTCTCGAAATGAAAACTTCTACCTTGGAGAGCATTCAGGACTTGCTACAGAGCTGTGAGTATTATGGGCACATGAGGTAATGAAAATTATTCCTGAACTTTCAAGGGAATAGCTGCTGGGAGTTAGGAGTTGTCAGGAACTTAAAAACTGGCACACAACGTCCTTACGTATTGTGTCATAATGAGCCTCGTTACTTACGAAGCCTTATATTTGGATTTATTCTCATGTACCAGTTCTAAAGAGATTCCTCTGCCAGGTCCCTTTGAAGGATGTTTACAGACAACCAAAATTGCTCACTGGGGGGAAGAAAAAGAAAAAAAAAAAAGGCAGTTCATTCTTGCCTGACAGCTGATTAAATCTTGAGTTGCCTTTTGCTTCTGCTAAGTTGTTCTGTTCGTGACTGGCATTCCGGGCTCCCTCAGGTGTGGTGAAGGCCAGATGGCACGATTCAGAGCCTGCACACAGCAGCCCACGGTTAGATTGCTTGCCTGAATAAAATTTGGAATGACAGAATATCCAGAATTAAAATACTTTGTTTGATTTCCTTTTTTATTTCTCTTTTTTGGCAGCCTCTGTCCGCACAGTGTTGGAAGAAAACACAAACACTGCGAGCATGACAGTCGGTGCAGAAGGTATAGATTCATTCTTTTCCAGTAAGTCTCAGGCTTTTCTTGGCATGCCATTTCCTAAAAATACACATATCTGTTAAACCTAGGGCATGCATGGGGCTCTCTGTTTAACACTGAACCATTTTCTTGCCAGGTGAATATATGCCTTTATTATTCTTCAGCTTTTATTTTTTCTTTCAGCTGTGTCCAACCATCCACTGAAGACCTTACCAACTTTCAAAACTATCGAGCTGGCAGACAGCAGTGACACTCCTGGGCCTGATGGTATGTCAGAATTAAAGCAGCCTTTTCAGATCACCATTCAAAACCTTAATTGAAATCAGACTTTCTGAAGTGTATTCATTGTCCATTTCTCAAAGGAGCTGGAGAAAGCTGTTACAAAACACTTAGGGGTGATGCAGGGGGTGGAATTGCCAGCCATAAAGGAATAGTATTTCCACTCAAGTCTGAAAAATACATTTATTTCTGAAATGTTCATGTCTGTTGGTACTAATGTGGTGGCAACACTTGTTGAAAAGCAGGTAATTTATTCTTCCCAAGAAAGGATGGTAATTGATGTGGGATATAACGCTTGTAGCTCCATGAATTCCAGGGTAATTAAATCTCTTGCTCCAGTGCACAAAGAACTGATACATTTTGCTGTGTAAAGCACAGCACCTTTGAGTGGCACCGTTCTGTAGGCAAGGATCTGTTTCTCTGCAGCATCAGGTTGAAAGCTGAAAGCAGAATGTCACATGAAGTGTCCTGATGCAGCATGGCAAGCTGCCTCTAATTTCTTGATAGCATGAAATCACCATGCAAGTTGGCTTTTGTGGGATATTCCTCCTTTAAACCTCTCCCTTTCTTTTCCTCTTGTGTGGAAAAGCTTTTCTTCCTAACCTTTCGGCCCCTGCCGGGATCTGCGCTCTCAGTTCTTGCTGTTCACCTCCCCTGAACTGCTGACAGCTGAATTCTGTGCTTGCTTCACATCCTTTGTTCCACGCTGCTCCTCACATGGGATCTCCCTCCCTATCTGCAGGAGCCAGGCTCCAATCTCCCCCCATTGAAAGCTCCCTTTTTCAAACACACTCTGCTGATAAATTTCCTTAATCTGCTCCCTCAGATAGAAAAGTCCTCCAGGCCACTCAAGGTATTGTGTATTCCCTGTTTAGTTGCAGGGCTCCTCGTGCCAGAGGATGCCTGGGTTTGTCTCTGATACCCAGCTGAGCACACACTTGGCACTTGGCAAAACAAATTAAGAAAAGGCTGGAATGAAAAAAGACTGTCTGGGGCTCCAGAGGATGCTGCAATCCAGGGCTCTCTGAGGCAGTCAAGGTGCATTAGCAAAGCTGTCTGGCACATGCCTATGCTTGGCTTATGCCTGTGCTAATTTTGCACTCCTCTGAAGACCAAACAGCTCTTTTTTTTTCTTTTAGAAAATAAATAAATCTCAGCCAGGGATAGTCAGAACATGCTCAGTGCTCAAGGGCAGAGATAAGAAGGGTGGGGATAACCTGCAAGGTGAGGTTTGCACTGCAGAATTCCCTCTGCCCACCAGCATCAAGCATTCCCTTGCCTTGGGAGTTCTCAGCCGTTTAGAACTTGGGATTTTTGGTTGTTTCATTATTTGTTTGGCTTCCCCCCCCCCCTCCCCTTTTCTACATCAGAAAAATCAATGTCAGAGTGTGATTATTTGGTTGCCTTCACAAGACTGGACTATTTTAATAGCAAAATCTTGCAGTGGAAAGGTTCTGTGCTCTTTCTGTGCAGCTGTTCTTGGGAGGAGGGTGGGACTGCACTTAGTTGTCCATTAAGAAAACCCAGATCAAAGTCCCTTTGCTTCCCTTTGATAAAAATGTATTTTTAAGCTACTTTTGCTTAGTTCCCTGTGACTAATCCTATTTTTTAATGGCAACAGGATGGATGTCCATGTGAATCTCTAAGTAACAGAACTCCAAATTTGGCATATCTTTGGGAAATCTGACTTAATGCTGGGAGAAATTTAACAAACAGCAATAAATAGAAACCTTAAAAGCCATGGTAAAATGCTTGAGGTCCTTATGGCTAGTTAATAGCCCAGTGATTCAAAATGTGAGAAATAATTGATCTGTGTATTCAGTTGTGTGTGTCATTTAATAACTTATTGCCTTGATGATGTATATTTTTTCCCTGCCAACATGCAGAAATAAGTATGAATACGGCTGTGCAGAGTGAAACTGGAGCCCTGACATCCAGGGAAGCGAGATGTGTTCTGGTTTCCTTGTAGACTCTGGGGTGGTTCTTTGCAGCCTTGAGGAATTAATAAATGGAGTCATTTCCCCTCTGTAACACACAGCAGTTCATACATTAATGCTTGATGCTGTGTGGAGCTCTGAGGCAAAATTCCCAGGAGGTTTTGGCTGTTCTGAGCTCTGCAGAAACTCCCCTGGCTCTGTGTTGGCTCCATTTGTGCTGTGCCCAGGTAGCTCTTCCTGCAGCTACCAGGGTTACCTGAGCCACAGGCTTTTCTTCAGCTCATCTGATGAGCTCTCAGACTCTGAAGGTAGCCTGACATCTTCTGTGTAGACAAAAGAGGTCAGAAATTACAGATTCACCTTTTTTTATTATTATTATTTTATTTTTTTTCCCTCCTGTGTCTCAAGTAATTTGTTCATCATTTTCTTATGTTATATATATAATACAATCTTGATACATTAAGATGTGCTTTCAAATGAAAGAAGTGAGGAAATTTGGTTTGTTTTTCTTTCTGGCTTATGCCTCGTTCTGGGTGATTTTAATTGTACTTTGTTCAGTCCTTCTGAAAGTTTTGGGGAACTATTTTTGTTTTTGCACTGAGTTTGTGCTGCTTTAGGGTAGAGAGGCCCCTGGCACAGGGTGCCCAGAGAAGCTGTGGCTGCCCCTGGATCCCCTGGGAGTTTCCAAGGGCAGGTTGGAGCAATCTGGGACAGTTGAAGGTGGAACCAGATCAGCTTTAAGGTCCCTTCCACCCAAATCATCCTGGGATTGTGTGGTTCCAACTGCTGCCGTGGGTAATTACTTCTTCCTGGGGGTAATTACTTTTTATCCTCATTTTGGATAGGAAAAGAAGTCATGGCCATGCTGAGAGTGAGAGCTGGAGATGAGAAAACCAGCGTGAGGAAATCTGCTCTGCAGGTAGGATGGGGTTTGCATCCTTCCCTGCTCTCAGTCATTACCCAAAATTGTTAAATAATTAATTAGGCCACAGCTTTGCTGCAAACTCTCTCACTTTGCCCACTTGTAGCTTCCTGCTCTCCCTGCAGAGTACCTTAAAGGCATTAAAGATCTTGTTTACTAGCTCCTGATAAGTAAATAATGCAGGCATAATGATGGAAATTTCTCTAGTACCCTTGCTGGCATTCTGTTATTCCGTCATTTGCAAGGAGAGGCTCTTGTCAAATGTCAATAGGCATTTCAATTAAGAGACTTCCTCATAAACTGAAGCATATTAGCTGCTTAGTTTGTTTTGACCTTGTTAGCAAAGGGATTAGGTTATATCCAGCCTCTTTTTGAGCTCTGTGTTGCTTTCCTTGCTGCTCGTTTCTTTAATGAAGTCATTAGCTTTTAAAGAGAGATGCTTCAATGGAAATTTCCTTGTTTTAAAAAAGAGGTGTCTGCTGCTGACTGCCTTCCTCTGTTAGTCCTCTTCACCCAGCTCTTCCCCCTCAATTCACACTGATTTGAGCTTCCCAGTTAGGGCTTTGCAATTCATGTTTTAATGCTTTCTGATTAAGAATAAAAATAAATCCCTCTTCCTTATTGCCAAGTAAAAGCCGTGGCTCATAAAGAGGCACGTTACTTCCAAGGGGAAATTGGGACATTCTCCCTCTCCAGCTGCTGTTCCAGAGCAGGAATGACTGGGATGATGTTTTCAGTCTCATTTTACATCTCTGGTTGCGCCCAGCACTCATGAATCGTTAATGTGCCGCTTCGCTCCGGGTGCGATAAATCTCTGGCTGACGTTGGCGGGGGGTAAATGATATTTTTGCTTCTCCACTCGGTGCCCCTGGCATGGAATCCCAACAGAGCTGTGCTGCTGTTTGCCTGGCAGGTGTTACTGAGCATCCTGAGGCACGGGGTGGTGCCCTGCACGGCCGAGGACGTGGGCGTGCTGCAGGAGCGCTGCCGGGACCCGGCGCTGTCGGTGCGGAAGCAGGCGCTGCACTCCATCACCGAGCTGCTCCTGGTGAGCCTCAGGCCCTGCAGGGCCCACCTGGACCACAGGATAGACAAAATTAACAGAATTAAATGGGTGTTCATGAAAGGCCTTCAAACAGGTACGCCTTGGGCAGTCAAAGCCTGCCAGAAGCTGCACCCAAGCCGGACAACGGTCGCGAGTTTTTCACACAATTATAAGTTTGGTCCATTTACATGTCAGGGGTTAATTCTCCAATTACAGCTGCAGGTAATGAAGTCATACACCCCCAGTTTGCTCCTCCCCCAAATTGACTTTTGTTTATACTTTTTGGGGCCTGAGGCAGTGAGGTGTTGTTGAGTTCCAGGCCTGGAGGAGTTGTTTTGTCTGAATAAAATGGGAGAACAGTAGCTGCCACTGCGTGGAGTTTAGAGTCACACACTAGGGCAGTACAGGATTTGAGAAATATGAAAGCTAAAATCCTAAGACATCGAGGGGAACAGGAATTCTGCCACATCCAGGAGGGTGGAGAGCAGGAGGGATCTCACCAATCAGTTATTCACTCTGGGAGTTGCATTTTGTGACTCTGCTCTAATTCTTTTCATTACCTTTTGACTCGGAAGTCATGACTCACTCTGATACCTACTTGTGATTTATGCAGAGTGCTTCCAACTGTTGGAAACACTGATTTTTCTGGCTGTTGATTTATGTGTCATGAAGAAAATGTTTATGTTGCTGGCCTTCTCAAGTTAAAAAAAACCCTGAATCACTTTCAGATGTAATGTGTGGATGATAGCAATGCTATATTTTTCTTTCTTTTCTATTTATTCACAAAGGGTTCGTAACTCAGGCTTGGAGCACAGGGTTTATATTAAGCAAAGCTCTTTTTTTTAGTGCTAAATCATCTGCTGTACAGCCTTATTGCAAACCTGTTATAATTCTTTAGAGTCTCTAAACAAAGTGTTGCAGTACTTTAGCAGAAACACCAGGTATTTATCATAGAGATGATTAAAGACCTTGTGATGCTGAGTTTCCCTGTCCCACCTGCTACCACACTGCTGGGCTTGATTAAAATTCAAGTTTCAAAGTTTATAGCTGAACTTGGAGGCCTTTGCTGGTCTTGCCCTGTGCATTTGGGATCCCCTAATGATTTAAAAATGTGTTTTTCTCAGTCTCAGCACAGCAATGTCCTGGTGCAGAAGGCCTGGTTGAACGGAGTGGTGCCCGTGGTGATGGATGCAGAAAGCTCTGTCCAAGAAAAGGCTTTGGATTGCCTTGATCAGCTCTTACTGCAACACATAAAACATTACAATAAATCCAGGAATGGTGATGGGAGGCAGGAGCTGGCGTGGGATCTGCTCTCCCTGTTGTCTTCAGAATGCCAGGAGCTGAGGTAAGTGCATTTTTCCCTTTCCTGCCTGTGTTAACATTTGGTGATAAAACCCTGTGGGTTTTTTTTCACTTTTAATCCCATTAGAATACACAGCTTTCCCCTTACAGAAGGAAATTACCTATTGACTGGAGGACTAAGATAAGAGTTTGTGTTCTCATTCCCTGTGTGGCCACAGACTGTGAGGTACTGTCACACTGAGGAACGGTGAAGCAGTACAACATAGACTCTCTTCTTGGCAAAAGAGAGCCAATTTTATTATTCCAGATCCTCTTTTATAGACAGGTCTGAGAAGGACCAACTCTCATTGGTCATTAAACCAACACATCACCATCACTGGACAATTAGAACACCACCCCTTGACTGTTTCTAACGAGTAAACAACAGGGATCCAAAGAACACCTGCAAAGGTTGTTTTCCTTCTCCAAGCACTGTTTGGATTCCTCCTTATGATTTCCTAGGCCACACTTCTCAGGCCAGTCTGAGAAAGTTCTGTGACTTGCTTTCACACAGGCTCTGTGCTCCCTGCCTGCTTTCAGCATCCATAAGGTACCACAGCTCACACTGTTAAAAAATGCACGTGCTGTCTGCTGTGCAAGGACAAGAAACCAAATTTTTCTCAGGGATTTCTTTACAGCTGCTTCAATTCCCTGCTTGAAACCCTCAGTTATCACTGTGGAGATGTCCTCCCAGGACAGAGCTGTTGAGCATGGGCAAGAAGAGTTCAGCTTTGCTTTGTGTCAGGTGTTTTCACTTGCTGCTCCTGTTACCTGTGCTCTCTCCCTGGGCTGAAATGCTCATTGTTACATCCCGTGCTGGATGCACTGGTAGCACATGAATATTTAAGTCAAACGGAGGAGTTCCTCTGACAGAAGTGAGAGAGGATATATAAAGCAAGAACATCACCTTGTATTAATTCTTATGTACAATATGTTACTTGTCTTGTGACAAATCGAATTATCCTGCCTGCCACAGAACGCCGTGGGAAGGAGAGGGAGAAATGCGATGACACACAGCATGACAAGGACACAACACTGATTAAAGACAGCTGTATGTTTATTAGTCAACAGGGCATAATAGCTCAGAAATAGCAGATGAGGCACTGGTGGTGCTGCTGTGCCATTGTGGGGAGCTGTCACTGTTCTAATTTGGGCCATTTTGTAACAGGGTTTGCACATTCCTGGCACCTTCTTCCTCCTGACCCTGCAGGACCTTGCAGCTTGAGAAATCTCACAGCTCTACTAAACTGGGGTCATGCAGAAAAACGAGCAGGCTGTGATGCTTGTGATGCCTGACATGGCTCTGCTGTCCCTTTATCCCTGGGAGTCCTCAAGGCCGGGCTGGATGGGGCTCTGAGCACCCCAGTCTAGTGGAAGGTGTCCTTACCCATGGCAGGGGGTGGAATGAGATGATCTTCAAGGTCCCTTCCAATTTGGGCCGTTCTATGACTCTGGGTGTTAAATAACAACTGCTGGAAAGTCTTGGTTACAAATTGCTGCAATTATAATTTCCTGATGTGTCATGGGACCAGTTGGACCTTCTTTCTTACTGCCCTGGATCACAGCATCCGTGTAGTGAAAACATGTGGAAAAGTGGGAATTCTCAGTGTGAATTATGGGAATACCAGGCAATAGCAGCCTTGTTGTGTTGCCCATTGAATGTTGGATTTTCCTGTTTTGTTTATTCCTCTCTAAACTTTCCTTTCTTCCCTGCAGCCGTTACCTGAGCAAAGCCTTCCTTATGTGGTCCAAGCAGCAAAAGTTCACCTCCACTTTCATCAATAATGTCATGTCTCACGTGGAGACAGAACATTCCAGGGCAGCCTGGATGCTGCTTGCCAAGGTGGCAGGTTCTTCCCCCAAGCTGAATTACTCCAAGATCATTGAAACCTGGGACAGTGTCAGCAGGTCAGTGAGTGTGCTTTGAACTCCACCCTGCCAGGGATCCCTCAGTGCCCTTGCACAGATTGCCTTTTAGCTGCTTCCATCCCAGTTTTTTCTTCAAACTGTGACTTCTGCAGCCGGAAATCCAGCAAAGGCCTCGAGATCCATGCAGTAACCAGCTCTTTCCTCAAGCTCTCCGAGTTTTCACTGGCTTTGGCGGGTCTGCCTTAATAATGCATGTCCCAGGTGAGAGGATTGTGATTTGTTGGCGTGCCTCAGAGTTCACTGTTGGTTTTCCAGGCAGCAGAACATGAGCAGTGACACCGTGGGACACGTCCTGTGTGTCATCGGGCACGTGGCAAAGCACCTCCCCAAGAGCAGCTCTGAGAGGCTGAAGGGTGAGTGGCCCTGGCCACCTGCAGAGGTTTTGTGCCTCCATAAACACTTGAAAAGCTTAGAAAAATCTGTTTTTATGTGTGATCTCGTCCCCAGAGAACATCCAGAGCTGGCTGAAGGAGTCTCAGTGTCCCCTGGAGGTGATCAGCCCAGCTGTGGAGACCCTGCAGAAGCTCTGCCAGGCCTCTGCAGCTGCACCAGAGGAGGCACTGGTGAGACTTAAAATACACCTCTTCAAACAGGCTGTTCCCCACTCAGGGGGTGTCTGCTGCTGTCTCCAGGCTGTGGGATGATGAGTTCTAAAAAAGGGGCTCGAGCCTGCTCTGCTCAGCTCTGACTCTGCTGCACTTGAGCTGGAGAACATCCTGTGGCTGAGCCTGGGCTTGTAAGAAATCTGCCTTTGAATGTATTCCCCCACACACCTCTGAAACACCTTCCATTTGCCTTCTGTTCAGGCTTACAGAATTCCTAAAGGAAATTTCCTAAAGGAAACCTGTTGCTGTGCTCGGGCCAGTTTGAAGCCACAGATTTATGCTGTAATCTCTGACTATTCTCCATCAGAGCTGCTGGAAATACACCTATTTCCTAGACCTCTTCCTGGAGACCAAACAGGGAGTTAATAACTTGCTCATAACTTCTGTCTGCCTCCATTTGTTTTATGCCATGGCTCTGTTCTGCTCCCACAGTGGGAAGTTAGGCCATATTTTGTTGGTAAAGTAAAGATCTCAGCCTGGACACAGTTGCAGAGAAGCTAAAATGAATGCAGGTCTCTGTCCCTAATGATTCCTCTTTGTGTCTGTTTTATATTTCTCTTTCAGTAAAGATGACAGGTATTTTATAATCATCCCAATCAAGTTTAGTAAATAATGGGCAAAACTGAACCCTCTGTGCCTCAGAAGCCAGGTGGGGGTGACGGTTTCTGGGTTTTTAAAGGGCAGTCAGAAAATCCTCACCTGTAGGTACAGCCACCATGGAGTGTTGGCTTAAAATGAAATGCAGATGTTCCTGTAGTTGGTCACTTCATCAAATCTAACAGCTAGCATTTATATACTTATTTGGTTATTAAAATAACCACATTTAGATGGTGGAAAGCCAGAAATGATGCTTTATATTCACCACAGTGTACTAGATAATCAGCTTTTCCTGGGTTTCCCCTCCACTCTTTGGAATTCACATCATGTTTCCTCTGTTAATGGAGCTGCTTTTTTCAAGCAGCATCTAAAAATTCCCACAGACACCTCCAATGTGTTGGGTGCACATGAAACAGTCGCCCAAATCCTTTTTGTTTAAGTCTGTGTGATTTCTATAATGAAGTAAACTTGGGCCTGTAGATCATTAAAAGCCAAATTTTCCAAGGTGTTTTGACACTTGCACACATCCTTTGATGTGCAGGGAGAATTTTAAACCTCTAAGGCACTGTCAGATTGATTTTAATGGGATCCAGATTATTAAAAGCATCTAAAGACTTTGATATTAGGGATTCATGTGTGGACAGATATTACAGCTACCTTTTGTTTAATTAATAAAGTCTTGAATTAATTTTGTTTAATTACGGAACAGGAGCTCTTCAACCAGGTGTTTGGAGATTTGGTATCCACCTGTGAGAGCTTCATCTCCAATATAGTCCTCAGAGAGGATGGAGCAGGGCAGCTGCAGGAAGATCTCTTGGTAAGTTTGGGGATTATTATTTTAAATAACCCCCCTTCATGGATTATTTAAAGGGTGGAGGTGTGCTTGGAGCTGGTGTTCCTCAAAATCCACACCAAGAACTGGGAAAATGGGGATGTGCATGGCTTGTGTGTGTGGTGAATTCTTGTATTTAAGGGCCTGGGAGCCCACAGCAGTTTGAGACACCAGCAGTTGCTTTAAGGATATGGCACCCCATGTATTTTTAATATATGACGTGTTTTTTTTCCCCTTGCTTTTCCACTGAAACTTCTCAGTTGAGCTGTTTGGGAGAGAGGTCTGTAAAAGGCATGGAATGCTTTGAGGAGTATTTCAGTCTCATTAGATGTGGGGGGTGTTGGAGCATATTAAACACACCCACCCAGGATTTCTGTTCCAAAGCCTCCCCTTCTGTTCTCCAGCCACTGCCTTGAAAGGACTGAGGGAATTTTTGAGTTGCTTTTGGAGAAGAACCGACTCCTGCTGGCTTAATTTGCAGCTCAGTCACTGCCTTTTGACAGCAGTGCTGTTTTCTCTCTGCAGGTGAGACACCTCTTCCTCCTGGGCGAGGCTGCCCAGCTGTGCCCAGCCAAGGTGGACAAACGCATCTTCCTTTTGGTTCAGTCCATCCTGGCCTCTTCTGGCAGCGAGAACCAACGTGAGCCACTCTCCTTCTGCCTTTAGCTTTGCATTTACAGGCACTACTGTGTGCCAGGCCGTGTTTCCATCCCTGACCTGCTCTTTTCCAGCTTCCACAGACGGTGAGGACATCTCCAGTTCCCAGCCGCTGTCCCAGTTCAGAGGCTCAGCCATGCCTCCCGTGGTCAGGGCTCACGCACTCATCACTTTAGGTAAGTGCCATCCTGCCCTAAAAATGGGTCTTTGTGTATCTCAGCCTTTCTGGTGGAGTTCTGCCCAGAATCCTGGAGAAGAGCTTCAGGGGGGACCTTGTCACTCTGCAGCTCCCTGAGGGAGGAACCAGGTCACAAGGGACAGGACAAGAGGAACGGCCTCCAGCTGTGCCAGGGGAGGTTCAGGTTGGACATGAGGAAGAATTTCTCCATGGAAAGGGTTGTTAAACATTGGAAGGGGCTGCTCAGGGAGCTTTGGAGTCCCCATCCCTTGAAGTATCCAAGGAAGGCCTGGATGTGGCACTAAGAGCTCTGAGCTGGGTGACAAAGTAGGGATCAGTCACAGGTTGGACTCAGTGATCCCAGAGGTCTTTTCCAACCTAAATAATTCCATGTAAAGCTCTGGCAGTTGTGACAGAGAGCCCCAGTTCTCTGCTGGCATTAGCCCAGCTCAGAGCTTTTAGCAATGCAAATATCCATGGAAACAAGCTGGGCAAACCATCAGAACCCTGCCAGCTCTGCTTCTCCAGGCAGTTAATGCATTAATAGTGATCAATAACCAGCATTGTCCCCCAGAGCTGTGCTGTCCTTGTCCTCAGAGCTGGGTGCTGAAGGATCATCTCACTTGCAGTAAGATGCTCCAGAGAGGGTGAAGAAAACTTGGTGCTTTTGATGTAGCTTAGAGCAGAATGACTGCACTTAAATATTTTTCCTCCTCAACGTGAGTGAAATGCTGCTTTCAGAGAAGCCTGACCAGCTGCATTCCCAGGATTCTGAGGAATACCAAGTGAAAATCCTGGGTTTTAATACTTCCATGGTTAGAAACAAGTTTTTTTTTGCAGATAGGCAGCATTATTCTTCCCTTAATTGCTTTGGAAAGTTTAATACTTTTGTGTAGAGCTTGGGAACAGGGAGAAGTGATGTTAGAACTATGGCAGGCTATTTTATTTTAGGTTGGTTCAGTGATGCTCTCAGAGGTGGGTGTCTCCCTGCTATGCCTATGACAGCTGGGGCTGTTCTTTTTAGCTGCTTTGAATAATACCCTGTACACAGAAATAGTTTGCTGTGAAGGAGGGAATTTGGCATAGAGACCCACTCTATAGGTCTAAGGGGAATTTGGAAGAACTTGAAGTACCATCTCTCTGAGAGATCGTGCAGATTGCTCATCAAGTTCCAGCATGAGTTTCTTGTTTATTCCCTTGTTTACTTCCTGATTCCTTCCCTGGCTCATTTTGAAGGCAGCAGGCTGGGCTGGGCTGGGAAGGAGAATTTACTCCCAACTCTGCTACTCTGGTGATGCCTTGGAGAGGCTCCCTAAAACTGAGGCTAGAGAGAGTTGAGAGAATGAAGTGGGGATTTACTAAAGGCCTTTAAACCCTGGGCAGTCAAAGCCTCCCAGAGGCTGCCCCCAGGCTGGACAATGGGCACGAGTTTTCCAGACAGATCTAAGTTTGGTCCATTTGCATATCAGGGGTTAATTCTGCAATTACAGCTCCAGGTAATGAAGTCATATTGATGCCTTCAGTTTTATCTTTCACAGTTTCCAGGTTGTGCACTGGTCCCTAACTCTGAACTCCACACAAAGTGTCAGCGAGTTCTCCTCACAGCTCAGGCACACACAACAATCCTTCCCCAGCCCCACAGCCAAGGGCAGCGCTGCAGCTCCAGGCCCAAAAAGCACAAGCAGCAGGGAATTGAGGAGAGCAATCTGGGAGGATGGGACTGCATCACCTGCAGCTGCAATTGCACAATTCACCCCGAGATGGAAATGGACCAGAACTGATCCAAGGGTGAAACTCCTGAGCCGGGGCCCATCTTGGGTGGAGCCACGGCCGGGCTCTTGCAGTGCCCAGGGTGATCCTTGGAAGGGCTTTTAATAAATCCCTGCTTTATTCCTTTAACTCTGGCCAGCCCCTGCTCCAGGAGCCTCTCCAGGCATCAATATTCCCCCAGTTTGCTCCCCCCCAATCCACTTTTATTTATACTTTCCTGGGCCTGAGGCTGTTGGGTGTCCTTGGCTCACAGGCCCAGAGAGGAATTGTTTTGTCCGGCCAAAACGTGAAGCGCTGACTGCGCATTACACGGAGCTCAGAGCTCCTAGCGCAGCACAAGGTCTGAAAACCACAAAAGCTCCAATCTCAAGGCACCACTGGTGTTCCCCAGGGAAGCTGTGCCTGCAGCACGAGGAGCTGGCCAAGAAGAGCATCCCGGCGCTGGCGCGGGAGCTGGAGGTGTCGCGGGACACGGCCGTGCGCAACAACGCGGCGATCGTGCTGTGCGACCTGTGCGTGCGCTACACCTCGCTGGGGGACAGATACATCCCCAACATCTCCCTGTGCCTGCGGGACCCACAGCCCTTGATCCGCAAGCAGACCCTCATCCTGCTCACCAACCTGCTGCAGGTGGGGCTGGGCTCCTCTGTGCTGGGTGTAATTAATCCAGAGTGAAGGCTGGCTAAATCTGGATTTAGTTACTCTGCTTTTTCTGCACTCACATCAACAACACCCGGCTGGGTTGGATAATGAGGTTATTTTTAGTCAATGGTTGCCCCTCTTCTCATCTTGGTTTCTTTGAACTCCCTCCAGTTTCACTCCTCTATCAGTGGCTGTAACAAGCATCACAACGCCTTTTTTCCTCCTGCTGTCTCTGCTGATTGTTCTGAAGGTGTGAATGTTGAGAGGCTCGAGATGTTTACCCTCCCAATGTTCACACCAGGGCAGCTTTGGGGTGCATTTGGCTCTGAAAAGTGTTGAAGAACACACCTGCCATGGGGTGGGAGAGCAGATTTTTCTTTTTTCTACTTTATTTTTCATACCTGGGGTAAACCTTGATGTGTTGCCATTTATGCTGCTTAGAGCATCCCCCAAAATACTTGGGGTTGTTTTGGGGTTTATTTTATGTGCCTCTCTCTGAATTTTTACAGTTTGTTCATTTGCCTGACTACAGTTTGGAGGTTCACACTAAGTTTTCCTGGTTCAGGTTGTTAATTTCTGCTGATTTCACAGGAGGAGTTTGTGAAATGGAAGGACGGTCTCTTCTTTTGGTTTGTCAGTGTCTTGGTGGATCCAAACCCAGATATTGCCAGGTAAAAATCTCAGCTGTGAAATGATGGAGTTGAAGGTCAGAGATGTCTCAAAAACCTGCCTCAGTCTCGACACCTTCACACTGTGAAAAAAAATTCCAGTGATAAAGCAGATTATCCCTCTAACCTCTGTCCTTCCTTTAGGGTCTGCAGTGGTGGCACAAAGGTGATGAAGCTCTCTCCAGGTTATTTGAAAATCCCAACGTTTGTCCTTGACTCATCAAAATGTGCAGCCCTGCTCTGTTTAGGACTCAGTTATCCAGAGGAAAAAAAGGGATTTTAGAGAGATACCCTTATGAAATCTTCCTTGTGGTTTTCTGACAGGTTCTGTCTCGTGTGCTGGGCTTGTTTTAGGACTAGGATGAAATATTTTTTTGGAGTTTCATTTTTCTTGTATTGCATGCCTTGCAATTTATTTATTTTCAGCCTTCTGCCACATCTTGTAGTTGTCAGAGGAATGACCTGTAAAATGATGTGTCAGAGGAGTTATGCACTCTGATTTTAAGTGCATGTTTATGAAGTTTTTGGAGGTTTCAAGGTGTCCAGCTGCTGTTACGAGAAATGAGTGGGGCAGGTTTGGGAGGTCATGTAGAAATTAGGGCTACAAAGGAGGATTGGACACCTTGCTGCTCGTTTCTGCCTGGAACAATCTGAGATGGATATTTCCAGAACCATCAACCTTTTGTCAATCACCATTCACATATCCTTTTCTCTTCAGTGCGTTTTTAATATCTAAAAATGTCTTTCCAGTAGATGGTGACATTGCAGCATCGTGTTCCTCCCATTTCTTTGGGAGCCTTTTCTTTTGCATCTGCATTTAGAGACTGCATCCAAACAAAACCACATCCTTCAAGCCTGGGGTTGCCTTGCAGCTCTTGCAGGGTCTTTGGGGATTAACTTTTTGCTGGGTGCTGTGTCTCTGCCATGGTGGAACTCGGGTTATTTAAATAATTAAAATGCTGTGCCTGGATTCAAGTTCAGATTTATTTCTGACTCAGTTTGCTTTAATGGCCATAAAAATGAGTAGAGCTGTGAATGCTGGAAATGTCTTTCCATCTGAGAAAAGGATGGAAGCCAGTGAGCTGGGCAAGAATTAAATGTGGTATTAAGGGAGACTTGGCAGAGGAAAACCATCCTCCTGCCTTGAGAGCCGTACCCAGCTTCAGGGGTGGCTTTTGGAATTTATCCAGTGATCATTTCTTTCTTCTCCTCCTCTCCAGGTTTGCAGAGTACTGCCTGGTGCATCTCTTGCTGAAGAAGAACCCCATGATGTTCTCCCAGCATTTCATCGAGTGCATCTTCCATTTCAACAGCTACGAGAAGCATCAGAAGTACAACAGGTTCCCCCAGAGCCTGCGGTCAGTTGAGCACATTCCTGTCTAATTTTTGCTAAATTATGGGCTGTCTGGCCTTGCAGCTCTCAGTGACAGCACAGCATTTGTGTCACTTGATAATTATCCATGCAACAGAGTGAAAAGAGCCGGGGGAAGCAGTGCTGGGCTGTGTCCTGCCCTCCCTGTGACACTGCTGCGTGTAATTTGTGGGACTGTGTGCTGTCCTAACAGGTTTATGGGTTTTAAAAGTGACATGCAAATACCCCTGGCTGATTTAAGGTCTCATTATTCCTGGGAGCTGGCATAATGTGATTTGGGCCTCTGTAAAATATCGTGCTCTGCCACAGGGCGAAGCAGCTCTTCTCTCTGAAGGGGAAGGATAACAAGGAGAAGAGGATGAGGATCTACACCTTCCTGCTGGACCATTTCACGGATGAGCAGAGGTTCAACATCACCACCAAGATCAGCCACAACATCCTAGGTAAGGCTCTTTAAAAATCTGGCAAACAAAAAACAAACAAATCACGATCCAGGTGTTTTATCTTCCTGGCTTCCCCATCGCTGCTGCTTCTGGAAAAACAAATGTTTTCTTGTCTGTGTATTCCAGCTTGCTTTGTGGATGAGGTCCTTCCTTTGGACCTGGAAGGCAGTGAGCTGCTCTCAGATACATTTGCAGTCCTCAGCTGCAAAGAAATCAAGCTCTCAAGTATGAGATGCAGGCCTGAGGAACACATTGAGCCTGACGAAGATGAGATGGCCGTGGCTGATGCCGTCATGCAGGTGGCCCAGAAAAAGCTCATCTCGCAGGTGAGGGGCACGTGGTCTGCTGTGGGAAGAGGGCTGGGCAGCTCTGTGTTTTGTGAAAACAAAATATGAGGGCAGAATTTGTGAGGGATGCTTGTTCTGGAGCTGGAGGGATCAGAAATGCGTTTCCCCAGGAGCCAGGGGAGCTGTGCTGAGCTGGATTTGTTCCCTACCCCTCTCCTTGGTGAAGCATTTGAGCGGAACAATGATTTTCCTGCACCTCTGGGCAATTTGCCTTCACTGTGAGAACCGAGTGACTTAGTGATGCATCTGAAAAGGCTCCACTTAGGTTAAAAGCCTCTGTGCATGTGTGTGGTGTAAGAGCAGCCTTAATTACAGAGATTCCCTGGCTGTGGAGGGATGACTCCTCTCGCTGGGGCTGCCTTCGCTGCCTCGCGTGACTGTTCATGCCTTGTTCACAAAAAGGTTCAAAAGAAGAATTTCATCGAAAACGTCATCCCAATAATCACATCACTCAAGTCCTTGATGGAGCAGAAGAGGATCCCAGCTCTGAAGGACCTGATGAACTGCCTGCGGGTAAGGGGAAGTGTTTTCTTGCTGGTCGTGGTGTTTTGATCCTCTCTGGAGTTAATGTGCTGCGTGTGCAACCACTGCCAGAACCAAGAGCCTCCTTAGGAGGGAAGAATTCAGAAAATAAGATGTTGTGACACTGCCACTGTGTTAAATAACGTGGGAGGTGGAGGGACTGGCGAGAAGGCTCTCGGTGTGGAACGTGGGCAGGAAGAAAGCTCAAACGCTGGAAAGCTTTTCTGTGTTCTGAAGAACAAATTGGAGTTGAAACTCCTCAGTCTGTTAAAAACACCTCTGCTCTACCAACTGGTGTTTCCTTTAGCTCCCAAGCAGCTGTGATCTGAATGGGGATGTGAATCAGTAGCTGGGGGAGATTTCTGAAAGGGTCCAAACATTCCTTGTTGCTGCAGGAAATGATGCAAGATTACCGAAACGAAATCAAAGACTTCTTTGCTGTGGACAAGCAGCTGGCAGCCGAGCTGGAGTATGACATGAGGAAATATGAGGAGCAGCTGGCCAGGGAGAAGGAGTCAGAGCAAGAGCAGCTCTCAGCAGCCCACGGGGAGGAGGTTGGTGCCATTAACTCCGTACCTGTCTCCTCTGCTCAAATTCGTGTGCTCACAACACCCAGGGACCCTGTCCCAGCACTTGGAGCAGGATGGTTGTGAAGGGTTTTCCTGCCTCTTTGTACCTCCTGACAGAAGCTTTGGTTTCAGAGTCATTTAATAAGCTTAGAACATCAACAACCAAAGCCAAGAGGAGCAGCAAATGATTAATGGAGAAATAATTCAATTTAAAGAGAAAACCAAGTCTAATTTGGCACTGGCTGGGCTTAAATATTGTATTCTTTCTGTTCCCAGAATGATAAACTGGTAACAAAGAAAAGAGTTCACTTTGTCTGACTTCAGGTGTCTACAAAGCAGAAATTCAAACCCATCCTAGTCATGGAGGTACTCTTTTAAATTCAGTGTAAAGAAATAAATATATGCCTGAGTCAGTTGTCCTGAACTATTTTAGATCCCTACCTTAAGATGAGATGAATTCTGGCCTGGAAGTTCATTGTTCTGCAGACTTTAGAAGAGCACTTATAGATAGATCTCTAAACTCGGACATTTGTGTCCCTGTTCACTTCTTGGTAAAACTTTGGCCAATGAATTGTTTCTCCCCAGCACCCTTTACCTCCATCACACAAAGGGCAGCCCTGAAACACTCAGGTCAAAGCACCTTGCAGGGTTTTCTGCTGTCGTATCCATTGGCAGACACGACCTTTTCTCCTGTTTTCTGCAGCAATCTGCCTCTTTGGAGAGAGCTGCTGGCCAGGATAATGACAATGCTCAGTCTCCTGTGAGTGGGAGGCTGTCCACACCAGGGTCCATCTCTCCCTCTGGCCCTCCTGAGTTTGCCACACCTCGTGCTGATGCTCTGAGGCAGCCACTAATGCATCGCAGGTATGGGCTCCTCCTGGTTACCTGGTATTTTATATTTCTATTTATTATACATTTATATTTCTTATGATGTATTTCTGTTTATTTATATTGCTTTGCTGATCCATTCTTTTGAGAGGGCTTTGAAAGTCACTGGTGTTGCAGCATAATCTCGTTATTTGGTGTTTAAAATGAGGAATTGGGAGGGGACAGATCTTCCCTCATGCATCTCATCAGGGCTGTAGAGGGAAATCCCAGTTCCTGTCCTGTTTCTGGCCCTAGGGCAGCATCCCTGAGCACTCTGGCCATCCTGAACTCTGCCAAGAAGGCATCAGAAAAATGGAGCAAGCAGCGCAGCAAGAGTGTGGGGAGGAGTTTATCAGCTGCTGGCAGCCAGCAAGGTGGGAACTGCTCTGGCTCTGCTTTACACGGATCCACAAAGAGTCTGGAGTGCATTTCAAATCTTAATTACTCCCTTGCTGTTTCCAGGGTCCTTCCAAAGCCTGAACCAACAGTCCAGTGGAGAAAACGTGGCTGTGGCGGGGCGAGCAATCAGCACCCCAGAGCGTGAGTAGGAACTGAGAGCTACAGATTATTTATTGATCCAAGTGCTTGTGGTGAAGAGGAACCCTCCTGGAAGTGAGGGTGTGCATGGGAAAGCACAGTCCAGCGTCTCCATGTGCATCTCACAGGGCCAGTGCAGGAGGGAATTTGTTTTTGGGATGCTGAGGTAACAGTGCCCTTTCTTCCTTCCTTGACTCTGGGGTGCTGAAGAGGAAGGTTGTGGTTCCTTTCCAGCCTGCCCTGCCCAAAGGTGCAAGGCTGAGCGCTTCCTTGGCTCTGGAAGCCCAGCTGAGCAATGTTAGACTGACCTGCAGAGCCCTGCTGCACAGGGAGATCCTCAAGCTTGGGTCCTTCCTGCTCTAAGTTGTGTGAGCAGGGTCTGGGGTGAGCTGCAAGCTGCTCCTAGAGCAGGCACAGGGCTGTGACAGCTGCAGGAGAGCACAGGGATCTGCTCAGAGGGATTAATAACCTGCACAGTCACTGAGTGTGTGTGTTCCACACTCAGAAGGAATGATGGGGTTTGTTGCTGCTGTAGAAATTAAAGTAGAAATGCACAGAGAGGAATCTCCAATACACAAACTGTGAGTCTGTGTCCACTGCAGCTGAACCTTCCAGGGTTCTGTTGGAATGCTCTCTGACAGCCCTGTGAGAGTGAGAGGCACTAAAACCCAAATGGGGCTGAGTTCCAGCAGGAGATCCCCTTCCTTTCCATCCCAGAACTCCTTTAGATCATCTCTGTTGTGCCGTGAGGTGCAGAGAACTGGGAGAGAGCTCCAGGTGTGAGTGTGTGGCAGCTCAGCTCTCCTTAGGTTTGGGGGCAGCTTTGGGAAGGGGCTGGCATCCCCAGGGAGCTGTGGCAGTGCCCCTGACAGCCCTGCCCTGCTCACACACAGGAGAGCCAGGCTCTGCAAATCCCTGGGAGCCCTGAGCAGGCACTGGTGTGCAGCCACTGGAAAATCTGATCCTGCCCTTCCCCATGTGCTGGGATGCACTTGTCTGCCTCAATGTTTCTCTCTGCCTGAGCAACAAGCAAAAGAAATGTGGGGTTTCGTGCAAAAAGTGTTTTTAGAGAGCAGGGTTCTTTGAGCGCCGTGGTCTCCTGGAAGCTCACACGGCTGTTGCTCTTAAAGCACCATATGGTGAAAAAGGAGGAAAAATGTTAATCTGCAGTGGTACTAGAGCTGAATTCCTGCTTTGCTTCGAGGCAGCATGTGTCCTTCAGCATGGAGACAAACTGTACAGAGCAGGATCATCACTTCAGTCAGCGTGTGTTGAGCCATCTGTATGGTGGCACAGGCTGATAGACAACCAGAATAAAACATTTTATTCCTCTGGTGTATCATTCTGAGACTACTGGAGACACAGTTCTTTGTAAACAGGTTTGTACTTGAGAAGTTGGGAGCAGCTGTCCCCTCTTTCTGCCTTGTTCAGCTGTTCTGGTTGTGTTCTCTCTTCCCTTCTGTCTTTGGGGCTCCTCAGCTCCTGCTTGGTGCTTTGGGAACAGCTTCAGTGCATCTGCGAGAGTGGAGATTGTACTGAAACACTTGTTGTGGAGATACCACCTTCCCATACTGCATGGGAAGCCCTACTTCCCCATTTTTTTCCCCATTTTTCCCCCTATTCCATCTGTACTATATATCTTTACCATTTCTTTCCCTTCCTTCCCCATAAATGTCTCCATACCAAGGTAATTTCTTCAGGCACAGAGTCACTGGCACAGGTCAGTCCTGAGAGATGCAGGGCAGAGCTAAGGCAGATGGATCAAGTTTGATTTCTGCTCTAAGCTTCAGTGATTTCCCTTCCAGGACAGGGCAGGAGTTAAAGAGCAAACCCAGTTCAGCTGTGAAGAAAAGTCCTTTTAGCTGAGTTTCCAACTCCTGCCCTATAAAGCACTTCCTACCTTAATTCTTTGTGAAAGGTTCTGGGAAACATGAGCATAAAACAGAGCGTTGAGTTAAGTAAAATCTGAATATTGTGACATCTCTCCTGAGATAAATGACAGGAAAGAGACAGCTGACAACCAGGGCCTATTCAGGCAAGCTAAATTCTACCTAGCTCCCTTGTCAAGTGATTCCTCTTGTCTGTCTGCAGGCAGCTCCTCACAGAGCAGCTCTCCAGGGCCTTTGGCAGTTTTCAGGGGCCCCAAATTGTGCCTTGAGTAAGCAGAGCAGCTGCTCTGGGTGGAACGAGGTGCTGGGAGAGATGCTAGAGCTTCAGTGGAAGGGGTGGCTGTCCCTGCCAGGCAGGACAGGGGGCAGCAGGACCAAGGTCCCACACTGATTTCCTCCAGCCAGGGAGGCTGTGAGGCTGGAATTTGGAGGTGATGAGCCCATCAGACTCAGCACAGGGGTGTTTGAGGCTGGATGGGAGACACTGAGGTCTGGGAAAGAGAGACAGATATGTGTGTTTGCAATTAACTGGATTCACTTACTCTGTGACACTTGAGTACTGCACAGCAGCATGCCTTGCCCTCTGGCTGTGTCACAGGCTGCTAATATGTGAGTATTTTTTTATTTCCAGAGACCATTCAGGACTTGACTTTTGGTGCTGGGGTCAGTTACATCAGCTCAACGCACACACCCGATTCAGCTCCAGGCAAGTCTCTGTGATTCTTAGTTGAGGGGAGGGGAAGCTAAAAAAAAACAAAACAACCCCAAATGACCAAATCTGTGGCATTTTGTAAATTATGAAAATGTATGTATTGTTTGCAGCGAAGAAGGATGAGGATGAGCTCAGGGATATCATCTGTTTGACACTGCCAGAGAAACTGTAAGTTCAGCACGGGTCTGGAACAGCCACTGCAGGGAGATAGGCTGGCCAAGAGCTTGGAGAAAATGCAGGGTTTGTTCTGCTTCCTTCCTGCAGCCCAGCCCCGCCTCGGGTTTGGAAGGTGGAATCCCCAGCCAGGAGGAGCAGCCAGCGAGCGCCCCTGAAACGATCACAGCGCAGAGCCCCCCCCAAAACCTGACAGCTGAGCACAGAACCAGCATGCTGCCTCCCCTCTGGAGTTCTGGGTGTGAATGCACATCCTTCCTTCTCTCTTCTCAGCTGCCTTTTCCCCAGAGCTGTCCTGGAGACGGGCAAAGCAGCACTGGGCTGCGTTGTCAGTGCTGCTCTTGGCAGAGGGCTCAGAGCTGCAGTGTAAAAGGAGGGTGGCTTTTCACCCTCAGGATGTGTAATTTGTCCATTTGGAAAAGTAAGGGCATAACATTGCTACAAACTCGGCAATAAATGCGTTTATCACAGCTTGCAGGGCAGTGAGGGGCTGGCTTTACTCAGCCAATCCCTCATTGCCCCTCTTGGTTATATAATAGAGTTGCTTTAATTTGAATAAAGGTAAAACAGCTTGTCACTGCCACACCCCTAAATCTGGTAATTGCACGCTACATCACCTCTTATTTGTTGTGCAAACTCCTGTGTGTATGAACAGCCTTAATGTTCTTTTTATATGGAATATTTCCATTCTTGAACTATGTTATTTCCAACTATTAGCATTTGATGAAAATAAATGGTTGCAGAATTAATTCCGCCCACGGCGTCTCCCCTTTTCTTGAGCTGACAGAGAAATGATTTTTTTTTTTTCCCTGTAGATTTCTACAGCCTCTCAGTCTCTTCTACCACATCACAGGTATCTTGGGCCCTCACTTCAATTAATGTTGGGCCCAGCAGCTTTTAAATACAGACTTTGACTTGACTGCAAGCAGGGTATGGGTGACTCAGACAAGGTGGGTAAGTGCTCTGGGCAGGTACCTTGTTTATCATAAATATCCTGAGTAAATCTGGCCCTTCCTGAGTCTCTCTGATGGCCACGTGCTCCTCACTGGAGTTCTTCTGTTGTTAACCTGTATCACAGAGCTCGTGGCCTAGATTTCATTGAAACTTGGAGCTGGGATGTGTTTTATTCCCTCTGCTTTGTCTCACTCAGACACGAGCTCCAGGCACAGAGCAGGATTTGCTGCAGGAATGGAAACAGAGGCACTAGCCTCCTGCACTGCAATCCCATCATTTGCCTCCACTTTCCCTACTCTCTTTTGAAGATCAGAGAGCCCTTCAAGTGAGGTTAAACTTTATTCCCAAAATCAAAGTCAGAGAACAGAGGATGTATGGAATGGCTTTGGCTTAAGCAATGGTCAGCTATGGCCAAACCATTTCTTTTTGTACCTCCTCTCCTGCCTTGAGCTATTATTTAACCACTCTGAATGGGCAATTGGGATAGTTCATTTCCTGCTTTTTGTTTTGTCCTCGAGCAGTATCTGAGAGGAGCCCTGTGAGTTTTGACTTCTCTAGAGAAGAACCAGGAACAAATGTCCAAGAATAAACTGATAAACAGCCCTGGACATTCTGCCACCTCCATCCACTGTGAGTGCTCTGCCCGGACAGACTTTCCCTTATTTCACTGAATTGAAAACAGGAGCTTCCCATAATTTGGCTGTTTGAAAACCACCACAAAGCCCAAACAAAAACCCCTACAAGAATGCTTTATAGCTTGGTATTTATGTAAAACATTCTTGGCAAAGTTAAAACAAAGTAATACATTAGTACAAACCTGAATATTATTATGATACAAAGAATTCCATCCATCAGCTCTCACGAGCTGGGGGGAGGAATCATCTCCCCTTTCTCTCGTTAGAGATGCCACTGTGCATTTTAGAAGTGGAAAAAAAAAAAAAGAAGTTTGGATTCTTAGCTCTGCTGGTTTGTCACCCAAAGGCTGCCTTTGGTGGGACTGCAGATTGTGCTCCCAGAGCTACCCTGGTTCAACCCTTTCCTCTCCTTTATTGCAGGTACCCTGAAAGCAGCACAGAGGAGGAGCAGTGGATGCCCAGAGGGTGCAAAGGAATGTCAGAACAATTAGAGGCAGCAATCGGCACTGGGTGGCTTGGATGAAGAGCTGGCATTAGGAAGGTAACCAGAGGGAAGCTGCAGAACAGCAGAGCTGATGTGAGTGACACAGAGAACACCTGGTTGGGGCTGCCCCATCCTTGTCTTGGCTTCCCCTGGCAAAGGGACAAGTGGCAATGCTTTGTTTGGGCACAACAAATGCAGCAATGGCATGTCCAGCGAGGGCTCTAGGAAACAAAGCAGAGTAAAGCAGAACACGAGAAAACAACACCAACAGTCCAAATCGTCAAGTATCCAAAATACTGTATACAGGAAAAGTTAAGACAACTCAATTTATATTGGAAATACAAGAACACTAAATTCTGCTACATTAAAAAACTTCCTAAACCACAGCACAGTCCTAGTGTTGCATCCACATCTTGCAGCCTGGTCTCACTCAATGCTGTTCAACACTATCAACACAGATATTTTGGGAAACACGTGTTCCCCATTATTCTTTCTAAAGCCAAGAGAACCAAATTTGGTTGGTTTTATTTTTATTATTTTATTTTTTTTCCTTTACCATCTGAAGAAAAATTGCAGCTGACACTATGAAAGTGCTTTTGTGTTGAGCTTTTGCTTTCCCAACCCCAGAAACAGTGGCCTTGGCCGTGTGGTTTAAACCTGCCAAGCTGCTGTAGCTGTCACGCTGTGTTAGTGCTTTAGGGAACTTGCAGAGGGGCAGCAAAAACTGAAGTCACTCTGTCACCTCTTTGGAACTGAGTCCAAAAGCCATCCCTGGATATTTCTTGCAACGACAAAAACAAAGTGTTGGTCACTGGCAAGAAAAGGTTGGTTGGTTTTGTTTTGTTTTTTTTTTTTCTCATATAAAAAAAGTTGATAGCTCCTGCCATAAATTTACAAAAACTATCCCTGAGTGACTCTGTTCTGTGTCTGGTAAGACCTCTTGTGACAAGGAAATGGCTGAAGCTGGCTGAAGAGGAAAGAGATGCTGTTCCACCTGCAGCTTTTTGTTACACTTTGCACTAATACTGATATGCTCTGACAGTGCCACACTGTAGCAACGTGTGAGCTCCTCTCTTGTAGCTTCAACAGTAAAAAAATAGCTCCGTTACTCAAACACCGCTGGCATCACGTTATTTACACTTTTAAATAGAAATGTTACCTTTTCTGAAGTAATCAAAATAGATCTTTGCAAAAAATTTAGAAGGTGGGGTTTTACAAAATAAACGGAGAAGGTAAAAAAAGCTGGAGGATCTCTCAGTACCTTTTATGGCAATCTTAGCCCAGGAAATTATTTGGCTTTAATTTTCCTGAAAGGGATGTCTTAGCACTGGTTCTGTGCCTCCCCTCTAAGCCTCTTTCCCCACGGAAAGACGCAGGAGCCAAGCCTGCTTTGTGCAGATTAGAAGGAGGGGTTACCTGCGTGCAATGAGTCCTGGCAAGCAGGGAGCAGAGGCAGTGCCCCTGCCCTGGGGGTGGTGTTAAATAACAGCATTTGGGGACGGTTTCAGAAGGGCTGAGGGCATTAGTGGTGTTTTCACTGTCACTGCTGGCTGGGCACAGACCCCCTGTGCACCTGAGCAGTCAGAGCCCAGCACAAGACAATCACAGGTGTGGAAAAGTCACCAGCTAGGCCTGGGCAATGAGCTGCTGGGAGGAAATCCCCCAAATCCCACTCTTTGAAGTCCATCTAATGCTGTTTCAGCACCTTTTTTTTGTCTACTGGTAACACATTACTGGTAATGTCTGCTACACGTTCACCTAATGCTGTGCCCCTGCTTGGTTTGCACATTGTGGCTGTGTCCCTGCAGCACAAAGAGAAGGCAATTCCACAAACTTCCACAGCCCAGTCTCTTGGGAAGGATTAAAACCTTTCCTTAGTCCAAGGACAAGTTTGGGTGATCCTGTTGGTATCTCCAGAGGCAGGGGAGACGCGAGTTGGGCAGTGAGGAGTTACTTTAAACTTTGGCAAAGAAAAAAAAGATATACAGATAGCTAGCTATCGAGTTCTTGTGTGTTCCAAACTCTTCCAAGCGCACTTAATTAATCTTTTGCTCTTGCTTGGAGTTCCTGGAGGAGGTATTTTCACACTTGCTTTTGCTGGTTTGCAATTTCCTTTTGGCATCTTAGATGACAAATGAAGACTTGTGTCTGAAGTCACCCTGCAACGAAACAGTTTGGGATGTAGGAAGGATCCAGCAGCTTTCCAGGCAGCTCTCTGTTCCTGCTGCCCCCAAAAGGTAGATCCAAGCTTTTTATCAATGAGGATGCTGCCCAGGCAGTTCACATTTCCCACTGGGAGGGAGAGGGAGGCACCAGTTCCACTGGCCAGGTGCTCCTCCTCCCATCCTCCTCACACACCAAGGTGTGGCAGGGACTTTTTCATTCCCTCAGTATCTCTGCTAATGGGAGAGGCTTCTTGTAGTCTTAAGCTCTGTGATCTACTCAAATCCCAAAATACAACTTCTCTTGTAAAAGCATCACGTCCTGCCCACTTAATCCAATGAAACTCATCCTAAGGGGGTCAGGCCATGAGAGAACTCGGAGCAGAGCTGCCTCTCATAGCTCCTGGCATCAGTCACTTCAGGCAACTTAAACTGTTCATCATTTCTAGGGAAATGACTCAGCCTTCACCCTTCTGTTTTCCCTCTGTTCCCCAGCCCTGCTTCGGAGTGGAGCCCACTCTCACAAAGTCTGTGGGCCCGAAAAGCGCCTCGTCCTCTGCCCACCCTCTTCCTCTCCTGACAGAGATGGTAAATGCAAATCATTTGTTGTTACCTCATCATCTGTCCGGATATAGTTAACGCCATCAGGCTTTGCTGGAGACTTGTAGCTGAAAGAAAGGGAAAAATCTCATTTCTGGGACAGGAAGATTGCAGGATTTTGGAGGGGAGGTGCTGGGAGAGACAGAGATGAGGAGGAGCTGAGTGAGAAGCAAGCAGAGAGAAACCCAGTTTGTTTCTCAAATGAGAGGTCTGTGTTTATTCCATCATTTACCATCACTGGGATTTTGTCTAAATTCCCCTTCAGCACGGGGTGAAAAGATTGCTCTGTGTTTCCCTAAGACTCTGCAAAGAGATAAACTAATTCTTTCCTGGGCTCTCCTGCTCTGGTGCCTGTCACTGCCTTTCTGTGCCTCCTGCTCTGTTTCCTGTGGCAATTATAAAGTTCATTTTAATCCTTCACTGCCAGAAACCTTCAGCATTTTTCTTAGTTATAAGGAAGCGCCACTTGTTTGCAATCCCACAGGAGCTCGGGATTTATACACGACTGTCAAGTCCAGTGTATGCCAACCCTCAGCTGCATTTAAATGGGATATTGAGAGCTTTTTCTGAAAAACAAACGAAACAGAGAGAAAAACAAGACAGGACTTGTGCTGAAAAGCAACATTTAGCACAGAACAAATCGATCTGGTGAGAATCTTGGCTTTGCATATATTATCTCCTCTCCAGACTCTGTAAGGACATCGAGGCTTGTCTCTGATGCTAATGCTGTTGTTTTTAACATTTTCATGTGCGCTCTAGAACGGCTGTTTTTCATCCCAAATTTAGGTCCTCACAACTAGTGAGACTTCCTGTAGAGAGCCTGCTCTGCTGCATCCATTCCCTCTGCATGTCCTGATGCTTCAGACTAATTGTGCAGGAGCTGGGATCATTAAACCCTGGCCCTGGTTATGCCAACAGCCCAGGAGCTATTGGACAAACACCTGCAGGCATTGAATTGTGCTGGGCCTCCTTTCCCATGCAAAGGATGAGGATATCAGAGCACAGCTCTCATCCACACCACAGTGCTACCCTAGGAAAATGCCCTCCATTCCTGGAAGTGTCCAAGGCTTGTTTGGATGGAGCTCTGAGCAGCCTGGTCTAGTGAAAAATGTCCCTGTCCATGGCAGGGATTGGAGCTGGATGATCTTTAAGGTCCAAATTCACTCTGGGATTCTGTGAGGATTCCATGAAATAAACTTGAATGCTGCAGGGTTTTACAGCAGGGTATTGGATGCCTCAAGGACTGGCTTAGCCTGTGGACTTTTGTGGGGAATTAGGCATTGAAATTCCTTTTAGCCACTAACTTTTGGTGCCCTTCAGACTCCTCCATGTTACCTGAGGGACTTGTCCAAGCTGCCCAGCTTACCTTTCCCCACTCTCTTTGCCATTTGCAAAGTATCCCCTTCTGTAGGCACAGCAGATCCCAAGGGTGATGAGCACCAGGACTGCGAGGACCACCAGGACTCCCCCGATTATCCCTCCGATATTGAGGTCATCTGGCAAAGAGAGACACCAGCACCCAGTGTTTCTTTAGGGCAGCAGCAACATTCCAGCCTCACACACACACTAAAATGCCACCTCTCAAGTATTTGAAGCAGTAGTTCATAGGGAACTAGTGAGTCCCTGACTACAAGATCCAATCTGTTAATGATCTGATGTTTCCCTGCATTTTCAGATTATTTTTATCTCCTTATGTCTGGGGCTATGAGAAAGCAGGGAAGACTTAACGCTGTAGGATGTCCCCCCTCATTCCCTGATGGTGATGGCAATTCATTTATGGTGATAAATCAACCAGCATTGATGAAAAGTCTACAGAGAGCCACTCACAGACTTCCATCTCCTGCTCCTCACACTTGGCAAAGCCAGCATCGTTTGTTGCTATGCAGGAGTAACGACCTGTGTCACCTTTGTGCACTGCGTGGAAAACCTGGGGAGGGAAAAGGGACAAAGGGAAGGGATGTGACATGAGAAACAAGGCACTGTGAGGGTACAAAAACGTGGATAAAAATGCATCTCTGCTAAGATCTTCTTCCATCAATCTTCCCTCTCCCAGACCCTGGCACACCTCACCCTCTTTAAATTATCCCTTCCTTGAAAGCCAGGCAATGTTTTTCTGAATTTACAAGCAATTAAAGATAACCTGTCCAGCCAAACAAGGCTTGATCAGATCTGTCAGGGCATTACCAGAGTGCCTGTGGCGGGGTTCAGGGTGTAGGAGGAGTTGTGGGATTTGGTGCTGGATTTGCTGTCAGGTGACAGAGGTTCGCTGTTGCGGTACCAGCTGTAGGTGGATTTGGGGAAACCTTCGTTCTCGTGGCAGTGAAGAGAGGCTGACTTGCCAACAGGGACAGCTTTAGGCACAGAGCATCTGGGGGTCATGGGTTTCACTGTGGGAAGACACAAACCAGGTGAGTGGCACTAAATCATTCCTGAATTCTGCGCTTTCTTAGGCAAAACCATCCAAACTTCCCATTATTCCCAGCTGGTTTTAAATCCCCAGAGTGGCACAGTTTGGACTTTGGAGATCCCACAGCTCACTGTTGCAGAGGTTGTGGGTTTGATACCTTGGACTGTGAGCTGGATGTTGATCTCATCGATGGTTTTGGTGTCGGAGGGTGCAGCCACCTCGCAGCGGTACGTGGCCGTGTCCATCCTCGTGGTGTTCTTAATCACCAGGGACGTCCTGCTCAGAATCTCTGCCCGTGTCGCAAAGTCTCCTGCCACACAGGAAAGACAGAGGAAAAAAGCAGGGCAATCAAGGCTAATGACTCAAGATGAAACACCAGACTCGTTTTGGGTGGATAAATTAAGTGGCTGATCTCAGACTCTTTTCTGGAGTCAAAGGAACTCAATCCTTGAAAGCCCCAAAGGAAAGCAAAGCTGCCAACCATGTAAGAGGATGAACTGGAAAGCATCACTCTAAACCTCAAAAACTGTGGCAAAATCAAACTTCCAAGACAGCCTCAGGCCTTGCCTCCTTTGGAAGATTCATTTGGATGTGGCTCTTGGTCCCATCTGAAGTGCTGGAGTAATTCCAGATGGAGTCAAGCCCTACTGGCACTGGAGTTCTATCAATCCAGAGAGGCTCCTTCTAATGCTCCCAGGATGCTGCACATCCCTCTGCTGCCTCAGCAGAGAGCACTGGCAGCTGGACACTCAGATCCCAGGGGGAGCCCTCAGATGTTCTGTGGAAAGACAGGAGAGGTCACACCCAGTGACCATGCTGGGACCCACAAAAGGGAGGCTACATCATTCTTTTCTTACCCAAAAAATATCTCCTAGGCAGGATCTCACTCCAGCTCCCCACTGTGACCTGTCAATAATGAGGCAGGGAGGAAAAAACATCCCGTTCTCTCTCCATCCTGCACTTCAACTGCTGAGCTCTGTTCCAGAAGAAAGCAGCCAGACAGCCAGAGCTCCTGCCTCTAACAGGCTTGTTTGTTCCCCATTGTACTGTTTCTGAAATCTGTTTGGAAAGCTGTTTTGGAAATCTGAAAACAAGGAATCTTCATACCCTGCATTTTGTTTTCAAAAAACACATAAGAGGTTTCTCCATTTCGGATTTTCTTCCACTCGATTCTGGGATCTGGTGTCACCGTGGATTTAATGATGCAGGACAGCTCAACACCTAGCAGGAGAAATGGAAGCAATCCAGATTAATAGGAAGCAGCTGTGTTTTTGCTCTGCTTTGAGCACTCTCACTCAGTGTTTTATTAGGAGATGCTGCCCACAAAGCAGAGCCTTCTCTTTCATCTGCCTCACAAACAGAAACGCTGCTGGGTTCCAGGAGCTATTGGAAGATGGATTTTGGCCAGCAAAAATAATAGTCCAGCAGATATCAGCTTTGGAGAGAAATGAACGCTCTGTTCTCTGCAGGCTGGGGCTTATGGCAAACAAAACCTTTGGTGAGGGTGAGCGCCCAGCCCTGTCCTGCTGCTGGGCAGAGCCACACCGTGAGTCAGGGATGCAGCATCCCTGGGACAGTGACCTCTGGGGATAAACCCAGCAAACCCTGCCCCCTGCAGCTGCCACTGGCGTCCCATCTTCCCTGGAGAACCTCAGCAGGGCTGAGGAGCCTCCCCAGGGCCACAGGGCACGTCTGCACAAATTTCTCTCTCTGTGTATTAATTGCAAGGCAACTGCTTTTCCTTCTTTTGGGACCCAGTTCAAAAAAGCACTTAGGCAGAGACTTTGCAGTGCTGGTGGCTTGCAGAGGGCCTCAACAAACCATTTAGAAAAAGGGGATACAGACACATTCTTAGGCACTTCTCTGAATCCCAGGCTCTCGTAGTCCTAAGGAACCAGTGACCAGTGAGCCAAATTCTCCTCCATTGTTTGGCCTGATGCAGCACAGGCAGCACTCACTTTGGAATTCCTGCACCACGGGCTTGGTGTTGCTGGATGTCAGCTCCACAGCCAAGAGTTTGCAGCCTGGAAAAACAAACAGAAGGTAATAAGAAATAGCACAGCTCATAAGTCACCCAGCTAGGAACAGGCTGCCTGCTGAGAAATCATCCTGGCCAGCTCCGAGGACTGACTTCCCCAGACAAAAACTCTTCCTGGCTACCAGCACAGCTCCAGCAGGACTGAGTTTATTTAGGAGTTGTGGTGTAAATACAGGAAAATATAATTGTTAGATAAAGAGGATTAACATAATGGCACAAAGGCAGTGACAGCATGAGCCGTTTCCTTGTGCTTGTTTAGATGGTAAAGGAACTGTGCTCATGCAGGAGTGGAAGTTTTATTTTGAAAATTAACTTGATGGTCAGGAGAAGACAGGAAGCAGACCAAGCTCCAGAGGTCAGGTCAGTTCCTGGGAGATGGAATGGGCCAGGCCTGGCCTCTGACAAATGCTGATTACATTGGCAAGTGCTGCAAGTGTGGTAATGTAAAATGTGAGGCAGTAAATCACAAGAGGACTGTGATTCAGGAGAAAACAGGAGTTCAGCTCCTTGGGTAGAGCCACAGACCCACTCTGGGGAGAAAGCTCAGCCATGCAATGCTGTGAGGATCCCTACAACACAAACTCGCTTGTTCCCATCCTGCTCTGAGCACCAAAGTGTTCCAAATTAATCCAGTCATCCTCCCTCTTTGGCAGATTAATTTAGTTTGAATAATCTGCCTTCCATGTCCCTTCTGCTGTGCACTCCACCAGAGCAGGTATCAACAGCACTCACGCTCTGCTGGATGCCCAATTCACCAACAACTCTCCAGAGGGACAGGGAAACGAGCAGGGAGTTCCCTGCAAGAGGAAAGTGAAGCAGACAGAGGATATTGTGGAACTGGTGATCTGGTTCTCCTTCTCCCAGGCAGAGCGTGGCGCTGCCAAACCAGACTGCTCCAAAGCCCTTACAGGAGGAGCTTCCATGCTACAATCAGTGCCAAAATAATCAGCTGCAGGGGCCTGCTGTGGCCACACGAGCAGCTCTGCTGTGACAAATCCCATCAGAAGTTTGTGGAAATCTAAGGGAGATGCCCACTGAGCTCGCTGGGCATTGATCAAACAGCAGGTTAAAAAATGATGGAAAACACTGCCCCAGGGACATGGGATTTAGCTAAAGGTTAAGAGTAAAAAGCCATAATAAACATGGATAGAAAGCAGAAAAGGCAGCTGAAAGGAGATGTGGAGGAAGAAATGATCTCCAGCATCATGACACAGCTGGAAACTCCTGTGCTGGCTTTCAGAGGGAAAAGCTTTTGGGCAGAGATTGACAGCGCAGGGACAACATCCCTCTGGAGGAGTGGCAAGGCAGCAGCCTGAGAAACACCCAGGAGCTGCAAAGTCACTGCCACTGAAAGCCTGAGGGCCTTCAACACTCCAAATCCTTCCAGCATGTTGAAATGTTCCTATCCCTCGTTGTTTGTTAAATGCTGACACTTTCCTGGGAGCCCCAGTGCTGGTACCCCAAAGACCACCAGGGAGAGCTGGCATTTGGCAAGGTTTAGAAAGCTGCCTTTGTCCAAAATCATTGTTTCTCACACAAAAACCACTGGCTGATGTTAACTAATAGCTGGCCCAGCCAAAACTGCTCCTAGCAGGACTTTTCCACCCTTCCCCCTTCTGCACTGGAGATGGTCATGCAGCATTTGGGAGAAATCCAATGTTGAACTGAGCTGACAGAGCTCTGGCCTTTGGTTCTCTCCAGCCAGGAGCTGGTCTAAGCAGTAATTTCTGCAAGTCTGTTTTGAAGCAGAGTCCATTTTCATAAGAGTTGCTGCTTCCAGACCTTCCCCCTGAAAGCAGGGAATTGTGCCAGATGATGCCAACTCTTTCCCTTCCCTCTGTTCATCACGGGACCATGGAATGGTTTGGGTTGGAAGGGACCTTAAAGATTCTCCAGTCCCACCCCTGCCATGGTTCCCTTCCACTGTCCCACGTTGCTCCAGTCTGGCCTTGGACACTTCCAGGGGTCCAGGGGCAGCCACAGCTTCCTGAGCACCCTGTGGCAGGGCCTCCCCACCCTCACAGGGAGGAATTTGTCCTAATATCCAATCTATTCCTGTTCTCTGTCTGTTGGAATCCATTCCCCCTTGTCCTGTCACAACGTGCTCTTGTAAAAAGTCCCTTGATGTGTGTTCTGTCTGGGGCTCTGATCCTCGGGAGCACGAACAGATTCCACTGATCCCAAAAAAACCCCAGAGCATGGGAAGCTGCTAATCCCCAGAAGACAAGGCACAATTTTGGGAAAGTCCTTTTGAAATCTTCAGACATGTTTCCAACAACGGTGAAACGTGGCATTTGAGTCCCTCTGCTGTGAGATTACTGCTTCTGGAACCAAGAACTGAATTGAGAGCGCAGGCCTCAGCACTCAGCTGATCTGAGGGGATGCTGGCTGGCCTGCTCTGGACCAGTTTTAGTTTTGTTACAGATTCTTGCTTGCACAGTATCTTTTTCTGAAAGAATGCTGTCCCATCAAATAGACATGGCAACAGTCCTACATCTGCTGTAGTTCGAATCTCTATTCAGCTGAAGGTGGGGACAGTAAAACCACAGAGTTGTGTGGCTCTGAAGGAGCTCTAGAAATATTCACTCCAGGACAGCAGGACTCTGTCAGACTCCAGCCCCATCTCATTTCTCAGAAACTGCTCACAGCAGGCTTTTTCTCACCCACTAAGCACAAGAGATTCAGGTCTATCCCTCAGGCACAAAGCAGGATGACAACAAATTTTAGACAGAAGCTGAGTCCTTGGAGACTGTGTGAGAGGTTCTGACATTATTACGTGTATTGACCGTGGGCAGAGATCAATGTGGTGGCTTAAATCACTGCTAAGGCAGATTTATTCCTCTCTGTGTGGCAGAATACTGCAAGTAGCATGTTCTAAATTAAAAGAAGGTGACAGCAAAGCAAAACAAAAACCTGAACTGACCATACAGACTGTACAGCAAGAGAGGAATGCCTTTCTAGAACCTTGCTCTGCTGGCAAGGGTTGTCTCTTGGTTTTGTTCTGTGTTAAATTATCATTAGTGCTTAAACCACCTTCTAAAAGGTGTTCCTTTAGGCTCCTTCCAGCCCAGCACAAATAAGCAGCAAAGGGTTTGTGTTATGTAAATCTCACTTCAAAGGCCTCAGCACCCAGGGTTTGGAGAACAGCTGGAATTGCATTCCCTCTCCAGAGCAGCATGTGTGCCACAGCACAGGCACCCACCACAGCCGTATGTTCCACATCCCTGAATCCCCAACAGATCCATATGTGCTGCATCTCCCAGTTCCTACCAGGTCTCTATAGGCTGCAAAATCCCAAATCCTACCAGATCTGCATGTTCTAACCCCCCAAATACCTACCAGATCTGTATGTGCTGCAGACTCAGCCAGACATATGGTTGAATCCCAAATGTCATCAGTTCTCCAAAATAGAATCCAGGACAAGGCACTGAAGTCTATAGCATATTCTTATGGCACTTTTCTTTTTTTTTTTTTCAGATCCAGCCCATGCTTGTTACTGTGACTCATGGTATCTGAATCATTTTAAAATGCTGTACTGAAGGAAAAAAAGCAGCTTTATAGGCGACTTTGCGTGTTGACTCTCCTTTCTACTGTTCAAAGCCAAGCTTGACCTTCCATCTCCTTCCATCCCGATGTCTGTTTGAAAGCTCTAGGCAGAAATTTGAAGAGGAGGTGAGGTATTGTGTTATAGGGAAAGTGAGAGGATGACCAGGAGAGAGTCTGGGAGAAGTCGCTGGCAGCATCCTGTGCTGCAGCCTCGCTCGATGCCGCGCTCGCCGTTATCTGATACGGTAATTTTAGTTAATGCACTGTCAGGCACAGGCAGTACAAAACCACGCAGCTGTATTTAAACACCTGCCCACCAAAGCAACAAAAATATGTCTTGCTCGAGGTGTCCATCATCACTAAGCCCTTGCTCGATTTGCAATTCAAAGCACACCTAAGCCATGTGGGAACGCTGCTATAAACCTCACGCCTTGTTAAGCATCTCGGCTTTCTGGGGGTTACTCGGTGCAGCAGGAGTGAGTGATGTGCTGTGGGTGTTCAAACATGGCAGCTGAACCCTCTGCAGGTCAGTACCCTCAGGGCTGCCTGTCTGGAGGTGCCCCTGGAGCATCCCATCCATCCATCCATCCATCCATCCATCATCCATCCATCCATCATCCATCATCCATCCATCATCCATCATCCATCCATCCATCATCCATCATCCATCCATCATCCATCATCCATCCATCCATCATCCATCATCCATCCATCATCCATCATCCATCCATCCATCATCCATCATCCATCCATCATCCATCATCCATCCATCCATCATCCATCATCCATCCATCATCCATCATCCATCCATCCATCATCCATCATCCATCCATCATCCATCATCCATCCATCCATCATCCATCATCCATCCATCATCCATCATCCATCCATCCATCATCCATCATCCATCCATCATCCATCATCCATCCATCCATCATCCATCATCCATCCATCATCCATCATCCATCCATCCATCATCCATCATCCATCCATCATCCATCATCCATCCATCCATCATCCATCATCCATCCATCATCCATCATCCATCCATCCATCATCCATCATCCATCCATCATCCATCATCCATCCATCCATCATCCATCATCCATCCATCATCCATCATCCATCCATCCATCATCCATCATCCATCCATCATCCATCATCCATCCATCCATCATCCATCATCCATCCATCATCCATCATCCATCCATCCATCATCCATCATCCATCCATCATCCATCATCCATCCATCCATCATCCATCATCCATCCATCATCCATCATCCATCCATCCATCATCCATCATCCATCCATCATCCATCATCCATCCATCCATCATCCATCATCCATCCATCATCCATCATCCATCCATCCATCATCCATCATCCATCCATCATCCATCATCCATCCATCCATCATCCATCATCCATCCATCATCCAT